AGTCTCCTTAGGCTGCGCAGTGTTGGCCCCATGGCTCCACATTAGACTGTGGCCAACGATGAACGAAAAAAGTGACGCATCAGAAAAAGCACCGTTGAATGTACAAAAACACCAAATCGTACATTTAGAGGCATTCGGGCGTAGATATCACCTGTACGTTTTTTAGATCGATGACAATAACGTATTGGTCCGCAGCACCGCAAAGTGGTGCTGGAAAATTTATATTTGTCATGTTGCTGTGACTGTTCATTTGTCCAAATGATACCCTCAAAGTTGTGAAAAAATATTCGCTTAGTGTAATCCTTAAACTGCACGAATTAATTTCGAAAGACATTTAGAAACACTATTTTACTACGGTCATTGTTGCGCGCTTGGCGACCAACCCCCGGCGTTACTTACAGTGGCCAAAACCGTTCGGTTTACGAAAACTGCGACCCCAGTCATCGCTATCCTTGCTCCCCGAGATAACGACCTTGTCACTGGGGCTTCATGACGCACTCAGCTGCTAAGTACGGCTAAATGCCGTCGCCTGCCTCTCACCCTGGCGGGAAGGGCGGGCACCACGGGGAATCGAACCCTATACCTGCTGTTTCCCGGACGCGCAGTGGTTCACGCAGGCGCGTGAACCACTACACTGTCAGCACCCAACACGCAGGATCCAACATCTTGATGGCATTGGTTTCATTAGTCGATTCCGCAAAATTATAAACGTTCGCAGAGAAACATGGGTTGACCCTGCGCATTTTGAACTTATTTCGACCCACTTCATTCAGCGCTAATGAGACCCCTTATTTCTTTGTGGTACAAGGGCCCTCTTGAGTACAACACCGCGGGACACATTATTGTTTTCGGTCAAGAGCTGAAGGGTCATTCTGTTCCACCGCGGTGTGTTCTCCGGTCTTCATTCTGGCGACACGGAGCGGTATTTCCTAGCCGATCCGGAGGCCCTTAGAGGGATACATCATGTTACATTAGTCCGCTTGACCCTGACGCGGGAGGCCTTCTGACCCGCTCAGTTGACCCCGGATCGACACATGAACCGTCATGAACGCAACAACATCCCTGCTCACCGCAGGTGGTCAAATAATTGGCGCGTGAACTCCAGTTGAGCGTAACGGGTCCAGGCTGGAAAAGGGCTGGGGGGGGGGGGGGGGGCCCACCGTTCGGTACTGGGGGCCTTGACTGACACAGGGACTCTCCTATTACCCTCAATGTGAGCACTCATCATCATAAATTTCATGTCTCCTTCAATTGCCAGAGGGCCCGACCGACGCAAGAGACCCTCTGCCATTTCGAGCTTCCGTCCCTAACCCTAACCGTGGCCCCTAACCGATACAGAAGCCCCTCATTGTGTCAGGGAACCCCGAACATTGCAAATCGCGGACGCCGGCCTCGTATTTGCTTCTGAAATGAGTCTTAAGGGTTCGGACGGACATGGAGCCGACTGATCGGTGTCCGTGGTTTCTAACCAACGTAGACGCGCGCATTGTCTCAGGTGTTCCTAAAACGGTTGCAGAGGACCTCTGACTGGTATCTCAGGCCGCGACCCTACGGGCCGCGATTCTTTATGTGACTTACAGCGAGTCATTCGAGCCCGTATGAGCCGGATCTTTGATTTTCAGGTCCGGTGGGCAGCCCGGGCCCCTCTTCGGGCCTCATCAAAAACTTCCTTTGGTCGGCTCGGGTCCCCTTTGACATCACAGGGCACTGTTAGAAACTGTAGGGCCCTGTTAGAAACTGTAGGGCCCCGAGTAATGTAAATCGCTGGCTCCGGCTTTGTCCCTGCTTGGGAAATGGCCCCTTAGGCCTATGCCGCCACGGAGCCGACTGTGCATTACTGGTGGCGGCTGACTAAAATATGGGCCCTTATCGACTCAGTGAGCCCCTGATCAGCGCGCAGGGCCCTCTGTTTAGCATTTGAGTGCCCGGCCTTGCGGGTCAGGGCCGCTGAATGAGATCTCTGACTGGCTTTTCTGGTGCTTAATCGCCGGTTCCGAGGGCCCGAAAGGCCCCTCGGAACCTAAGGGGGGGGGAGGCGGTTGCGTGCCACCTGTGCCCTCCCTGGCTGCGCTACTGGGTTAGGCTCATACCGGCACCGGCGCAGCTACTGGTAGAACTCCTGCAGCCGGCCAACTAAGATCGGCACTCTATATGCTTCGACCGGGGGGGGGGGGGGGGGGGGGGAGGGAGACTGCATGCTAACGTTGAGCCGCTCCTTCCCTAACCCCCCCCCCCCCCCCGCCCTGCCCATTGCTCCTCTGAGATCCCTCAGCGTATATGTACAAAAAGAAAACACCGGGTAAAAAAGTCAAGGAAAATCGCCTGACTATTGGCATGCTAGGTACCTAAGCAAATCACTAGTCGCACCACGTTGATGTTGCGCCAAATAGTAATTTGTAGGTGCCTCATGGTTTTGTCATTCAAACTCAAATTAAGATATTAGACCATCTGCATATTTTTTACGAGTTTTCACATGTCACCTGGATTGGCATAAAGCATTAGCGACTGCAATATTGGGCAACTTTTTAAAGTATATACAGGATGTTCCTGATAATAGCTCACCTAAGTTTTGATTAATGGTGACATTTGTATTAAACTCGCAATTGCGATTGGTGACATTTGACTGCCAATTAAATGGCAAAACACGAGCAGCGACAGCGGTGGTCATTAGTGATTCCGCACCCGTCAAATCGTGACATCAAAAGGTGATCCAGATCCATGGGCGTTCAGGATCGCAACAGCTGAGCCTGTTACAAGTAATCCAATGTGCTGTCGGTTGTCCGCGGCGGCTGCCTTTCTGAAGATGGCCTTGAACTCTTATGGGCTCGCTGGTTTGTACACGTGGATGTGGTGCTTGAGCCAATCTAGTGAAGCCCGTGCTGTGTGTGTTGTCGCCCCGTCCCGCTGGAGCCAATCCTCGTCCCGGTCGATCCCGTAAAGTCGCCCCAGGGCCGCCCAGAAAGGCATCAGAGCAGTGACGACGCAGCGCTCTAAGGTGGGCTTTACAGGGCCTCGTTCTTGTCTTCAGAGAGACATTTCCTGAGTCATGTCTGATAGCTGCCTTTTTATTATGTGTTGTCATTGAATGCCATTCTAGTTTCATCGCAGTCTTGATTGTGCAGGAAATGCGCTTGCTATAGAGTGAAACGGGGATTAACTTTTGTCTACGCTACCTTGTATGAAATGCATTCTTATATAGACAGTCGGTTTATTTCACTTTTCCGCGACTTCATTACGAGCCTGGTATATGTTAAACTTGCAAACCTGATAGCTTTAAACAAAATTTGAGAGCTTACGGCGCAATCGGGAGACCTTACTCACCTCACTCAGTACTCCATCCCTGTTCTCACGAAAAAAGGATACTTTAGCACATCTACGTTCAGACTGCTGGGGATCAGAAGATAAACACACGACTCTCGCCATTTGTAATATAACAGCTGCTTTCTCAGCCATGGCGCGGTTAGCGCTGTCCGTTTGCATGGCCGCTGCCATCAGCCAGAGCATATTCCAGTAGAGAACAAACGGCGAACACCTAAAGCACTGGAATCCCCTGCGTTGCAGGTCTGGGAATCAGAAGGCGGGCGTTCTAAGCAGCGAAGCAATCGGGACGAGCTCAAGTACATTACGGGACGGAACGAATTCATGTATAGTTCGTCGGTGTATCTTCCATCTGGTTGTACCACAAAAAGGGGGCTTAGGAATGGAGTCAACACATTCTTTGCGGTTTTTTCCAGAGTGAAGAAAATATTATGGTAGTGTTGATCGACATTTACTAAGAAATACCATTGCGAGCACGGTTTCCAAATGTCGAATTTCCTCAATAGTCAATGGTTTTTTGATCAATTCGTCTATCCATTACTCCTGGTATCCAGCAGGAAGATTATTTTCAACATGCGAACTCTTAGCTCATCACCGCGGAGCTCCAGGATCCGAGGCCTTTCTTGCGAATATCGAGCTTCAGCGCATGCCGAAGTGTTGGTCATGTTCTTGTTAGGACGGCCACTCCGGAGAGCTATTCATCACCAGCCTTTACCTATTTTGTCCTTCCAGTTATAGAGATGTCTGTTGGGAAGATTGTGCGAGCGAAGCTTTACTTTTAAATATAGGTACATTATAGCAGTGTACTTGGACAATTTTTGATAGGTCCTCACCCGTAGGTGTGAGGCCACTCCATTCTACACAAAACCGTTGTTTGCACCTCTGGTCATCTCTCATGAACGATAATTTTTTCGTTGATCATGAAGGCTCAAATTAATGAGATGTGTTTTTTTAAGTACACTCCATTCCAAGCATTTTTCAAAAATGCAGCTTCACTCGCCTTGAAAAGAAAAGTCATTCCTCCGCAGCAAAGCAATTTCAAATGAACAAAATATCTTTCAAGCTTGTTTTAAGTTCAACATCGATGGCGCGAAATAAGGTTAACGAAATTCGTGGAGAAGTCAGGTCTCAGGGCAGGTTAGATCAACCCTATCAGCTCAATCGCCCTCCCCAGCCCTCCCAACAATTTTTAGAAAGTGACGTCACTGCGGCTAACACTTGGCGTCTGCGGTAGACCAGAACGGCTGCAGCATCACATTGAAACATGATATATATATATAGATATATATATATATATATATATATATATATATATATATATATATATATATATATATATATCAATACAGTGGTGAAATGCATTTTTCTATTTTGACACCTCTTAACTCCATTCACCTAAGATGAATTAAGTACATAAACGCCGAGGGAACTCTACCCTAACCAAACAATAATAGTCTGGAGACTGTAGGGACTATGGGAACCGATTGACCCCGATATAAGCCACAAAGCTACTGCATATGTGAGAGAATCAAGAGTCAATAGAACCATTCGATTGATTCCGACACCATCGGCAGTTTATTTCTGTGGGATGGCGGTAGGTAGGGCGTGGCGGGGGCGGTGATTTGTGGCTCAAGATGATACTGGTACCTTCCATGGAGAACAAAGCAATTATTGTGTGAGGTAAGTCGTTGAAAATGGTGTCATCGCTTTTACCAGGGTAGCCACGTGTGATGCTATGCCCCCCGGAATGACGGTGCATCTGGTTGCACCGGCAATAATCATAACCATTGCTAAACGTTTGTTTGTTTGTAATGATTCCTGCTGGGCCCTAACACAGTCTAATCCAACAACACATCTGGACTGGCAAGCATCAACCACCCCTGAAGACCGAGAACGACCTGAAATCATGAATGCTCTCAGCGATCTATTCGTAAGGTTACATGTTGCAAACTTATCAGACAAACGTGCTTTGCATCTTTGTCATCTTGCGAAGCCATGTCCGTTTGTCCCATTTTTCTTTGCCTTTCAGGTGAGCCTGAGTTTTTTTTGGCAACATTTTTTCAATCAATGTACTTAGTTTCAGGCGTGTGGTGCATCGCGCTATGCTCTCCTTATGCTAGCTATAATGTGGGACATCAATTCGCTCCCTGAAATCTAGTTTTCAACGCCTAGTAACCCTGTTTTCCGGACGCTTTCGCACGCAGTTGCAATGCCAGGACCAGGCGTGGGAGACCTCGCTTTCCCAGAACGCACCAAGTCAGAGCCTGATATTCGAGTCCGCTTTCTCCCAGGATTTGTCTGATTTGCGCATCCGCACGCAACTATCTCACAAACTGACCAGTACAAGAGCCTGTTACATAATGTTTATCACCGAAAGCAAGGCCACCGCCCTGCTCATTCTACTTCCATGACCACACGATCTCGTCACGGCTGAAGCACCATGTGTTGGCCAACGCGTTGACGAGCCACCTTGCTCCTTTATCCTTATTGTTTGCGCCCAGTTCTGATTCCACACAACCGCACCAACCGAGTCACACGTTCATAGCAGCGATATGGGTTAACAGGCGGCGTCGCGGTCTTGGTGGCTTCATGCATTTGAGTGCTGCTTCACGCCCATTCCTAAGCAGCATTCAGCGTCGAGTTCACACCGTTCGAGTACATCTTGTGCCACTCGTTTGCTAGGTAGAAGAACGCGTCGTCGATGTTCTGGTTTTCCTTCTGCGAAAAGACATGCCAACATGGTACACAAACTGGGTGACATCAATTGTCCGTAAAACTGTGCGCACAGCCCTCTTGGTCTACAATACGTCCATCTAGGCAAACATACACACAGGAGTGGGGGGTACATTGCATCACAGGGGACATTGGCAACTTGCCTTCGTCAATAAGCATAAACTTCAACCGCTGCGTTTATCATAAAGAAAAGCCAGCGAGGAACCAACTTAGACTTGGTTCATTACCCCCCCCCCCCCCGCCCGTTTCCTCACGTGAGAACTGAGAACTTTGGCGACATTTGCGTCCGTGTAAAAACTATGGAGTCTGCGGTGATGTCCGGAAAGCTCATAAGAGATCAGGTCGTTTTTTATCGTTCGTGCACCAGCATGGTCAATGCCATTAACACGAGTAACATATTTGCATTAGCGTGTGTTGTCATGGCTCATACCGTAGTGTGACACGCTTTGACATGAACCATGCGTCAACATAAGCCGAGCCGAAGCCTGAATCAGGCATCGCTATAGTCGTAATTTAACATGGCTTATATATCAACCTCACAGACATAGCCACATGGCCCAGTCATTGGCATGACCCACATGACCCATGTGTTACCATTACTCATGCATCAGCAAGAATCATGCGTTAGCACGACAGCTGCGTCCTCACAACTTATGCGCTATTGCTTAGGATTGACTTGATTCACGATTCAATGCATGTGACTCATGACTCACCGCGGAGCATTCCATGTAAACGAAGCCCAGCTTGTTGGCGAGGTCATTGCCCTCCTTGGGACTGATGATGCGTCGTTCAGTCAGGTCGATTTTGCACGCCATCAGCACCCCTGGCGGCAAACGCGCAAAACATTTCAAACAAGCAGAGGAGGCAACCCACCGTGGCTTTCGGCACCAATTTTTGAAATGATAAGTGTGATGACTTAACAATAATAACGACGCATGCAGCTTCTGGCGTTCTTGGCAGAGGCGCAGAAACAGAGGCCGGTTTTGCGATGACTCCCACATTTTTTGCGTACATAACGCTTACATGTGAAAACTGCACCGCGAAAATGCATCGACATCATCGAATATTGAGCTTTGAGTTACCTTGCGTAATCACTTTTTCAAGCCTTCCTGTGTCCCCGGCGCTTACAATCGCCATCGCCACACCTCTCCGAGTTCAGGACACCCGGATCACAAACCAGAGACGAATGTCCTCAGCGCTCTATGGTTTGGAAAGCTTTGCAGCGTGCACATCTCCACAGACGCATGGGTCACAGAGAACATTACAGAACAAGTGCGACGACGAGGTCCCTCATGTACTTTTAGTGCATTCCTACGCGCTCGACAAACGAAGGGGGAATACCCATCGCAACTTTAATAACATCCAAGGCTGCTTCCAATGCAGGTACATATGCGGACATAACATAGTTTAATAAGGCAGTTTGGGTCAGCTTTTGATACAAAGTGGGTGAGGTGTGACTTATCCGGCCTTCAACTCTCTCACACCCATGGCCATAAAGAACAACAACATTGTACGTTACGTTGTTTGCAGTTCATGGTGGAGGGCGTAGCAGATGTAACGATGAACGGTATTCAGATATCACCGAGTGATGACCGCAACAGCAGAAGCGGACTAAAATTTTCGTCAAGGCAAGGCCGGGTATTTTTTCGGGGACTCTATGATTGAAAAGGCACTCTTGCAAAGCGCGCCGTGTTACAGCCCAACACTGAGGCGTCTCATTGAATTTAGGTTACAGAGCTATGCGCATTAGGAACGCATTTGCTTGGGTCATTTGTACGCGACTGGGTACGATTAAGCTCATATAGACCCGGGATGTTCTTGGGACTCATTCAGAGTCCGACATAGCGGGAGCATGACAACTCTCTGTGACGTAGAGTCCACACTTAGATGCTCAGAGAGGTCAAGACTCCCGCGGCCGCTTTGGATGCGCTGCTGCTTGAGATCAGCATCCGCATAGTTATGCCGAGAGACCTTCATAAAAGTTTTCCAACAATATTCTTACGAGCACTCATATATCATTGTTTGGTCCTTAACGGAATGGCATGGCCATCACGTGATCACCAGATATACGTTTCACCGTTGAAAATGCTGGTTGTTGATAAAAACTTGTACACAATTGAGTCTTGATTGGATCACGCCAGGGCCCACTTCTTCAACCGATCCTACGAGCGTGACCTTAGCCGGGCATCCGCCTCCCCTACCGGGCATGGTGTTTTTGTCCTTCTTGGCCTCCTTGATGAACTTGTGCCACTCGGCAACTGCCTGGAACGACTTCTCGTTGGTGACGTCGTACACGATGATGACCAGGTTGGGGTTCAGCTGGAACATCGAGGTCACACGCCACGGTCACAATCGGCTTGTTCGCCAAGACGACGAGCGGTGTTCCGGCGATGTTGCCACGCGCACGAGCGTCAGTATGCTAACCCGCCTGTTTCAATGACTGATTCTGTCGAGGAATGTCCTGTGTAGACGCGGAAGCGTCACACAGAGTGACAGTAGAAAGATGGGCTGGACTCAAAAACCAGGTTTTCGGCGGGGATGTCCAATTTTCCCAAATATCTATTCCGCCCAAATGTCTAATCCGCCCAAATGATGGGCCGCATCGACTGGTATAGTCGAAGACAGGTGCAACTCCTGACGTTCGGGGTTCAGGCGTCGTGCCACAAGGTGCGCTTTTACCCCACTGGTTTTGCACGGGTGGCCTGAAAGTGTGACCCATGACAAAGTCAACGAGCACTCGTTCAAACCGTGGCCACATCTCATAGAGAATTGAGCAGGGAATCACGTGAGGCCAGATTTGCGTTTTGCATATGCAATGTCACGTGCACAGAAGCGGCGAAAGTGGATTAGTAGTTTCCAGGTTTTTCACGCTGTCACTGTTTCTCGGCAGCAGGAGCTCGTTGAAGCGTGAGTCCAGTTTCGAAGCGCCATAAGGCGTGCCGTTGCAGCAGCTTTGACAAATGACAGTGCCGAAGTCAGGAAGATCTGGCATTTTCAGTGGCAGTGAGTGCGGTTTTCATGAACCTTTGAAATCGTAAGACGTCCCAATTGTAGTGGAAGTTCAAAGAGCACGAATTGAAAGCTGAACATTTCCTAATTTCGTCTATTGAACACGCCGTAGGCTCATTACTAAACAATGCCCTAAATGGTGTTTCCGAAGATTCATATTTGCTGCCTTGTTGTACCTCATCACCTTCGACACATGCTACGTGACACCAAATCGGCAACCGCTATGGTAACATTCATCTGAAGTTGAAATGAACGCTTTCCCAATGTGTTAGCCCTTTGTACTTGAAACTGATAACATGTTTTCAGGCATTAGAAGCAGCCATCTCCCACCACGTAGCGTATATAGAGAGGGCGAGGGAGAGACGGGCTCTCACCCACCGATTTACGGCAAGGTTGCAAGCCATTCAGCCCATTATACCGCGTGAAAACCTCGCTTACAGATGGAGATTGTTTCCCATGACCCACCTACGTCCCTGGTGGTCAGCACATCCCACCCGGCTCCCGTCAGGCATGCCGGCAGCCAGAAGTCGGTTTGGCCAGAGAGCCCCATGCATCACGTTGAATGCATCGCGTGATACATAAGACAGCAACAATAGCCCATCTTTCACTCTCCTGTTCTTTTTCCGAGGAATAAGCCTATTGCTACCGCCTTATCTATGTGAATAATGCTCCTCGCAAATGCACTGAACAACTTACATCCATTAATAATGCAAAACACAAATTGTCCACAGAAGCTTCGCCCCTTAGCAAAGGGAACCCGCAAGCACTTGTGCAATCTTGTTGTATGCAGCTGTCGGCGGTGCGTCGCTGAGGTCAGGATGACTCACCACATTGCTGAGGACGTCCCGGTAGATGCTCTTGCCGGAAGCGTCGTAAATGAAGAGCTCCACAGACTCTGACGTGTCAGGGATCCGCACCTGCTTCTGGTGCAGGTCCACCGTGAAAGTCTGCAACACGGGGGTCGGGGTCTAGGGTCTGCCTCTCGCTGTCTCACCAGGACTTCCTGCGCTTAAACGATGCCTGCAGTCAGCTAAAGCGAACACTGTTCGCTGAGCTCATGTGATGCCGAATTTCAGAGGGTACCGCTGCGACTGAAGTAACCTCAGTTGGTTACATGACTTAGAAACCCGATCAACATTTTCGCGACCAAAATTTCCCGATCAAAAATTCCCGATACCCGATCAAAATCCTATGAAATGAGCCTGCAACTTCTGAGAATGGGTGAATCACTCAAACGATTTGAACAGCTGATGTACACCATTGGTAGCGCATTCCTTGAGAACCCTGGTCAAGTGCGGCAAAAGTTCTGGGAAGTGGGTTGAAGTGGTTGGGGAGGTGGGTGGAAGCGGGAATTGGGAATATCAGGTATCTGAGCAGATCTTCACAAATTTGCAAGTGTAGGTCGGACTGATACCCCACCCACACTCAGTAAACCACAAGTAATAAAACAATCGATGTAAACAAATGCATCGTTTGCACCACCGCAAAAGACTGTGGTGTTCGGAATCCGCTGCCAGCTCTGATGAGCTCCTTAATCGGTATACCATTTACCGATGCCAACGATACTTCCGCGATATGAGCGGTGCATTAGTGGAAATCAGCATTTGGGGACACCCGATAAGTTTGAACTTCCAGAATTTTTTTGGGCATTTGGAATATCAGGTCAACGGGAGCGAATCATCAACAATCACTGAGACAAAATAGTAATATCCTACAATGCAGCGCACACACTTAAAATTCCAAATTTGACCCAACAAACTCTCCTCAAAAAACAGAGCGGCGAAATAGCTCGAGCTTCCGACCCCAGTAGGCAACTCATTCATAGAGCATGCCCTTTGGTGGTGCGTGGGGCGTAGTCATTGTTTTTATGATACAGCAGCTGCCCAAACGACCGGCTAGGAGGCGGCAGTGATAGACTGCACCATCTGGCGTTCCGCAACAGGCTTACCATGCTGTAGTTCTTTGGGTAGTCGGCTCCATCCGATAGAAAGACCTGCACCAAGGCTGTTTTCCCTGCCGTGCTCTCTCCTGAAAGTTCACCATCCAGTTCACCAGAGAGCAGGGGCATAGCTTCTTATTCAGCAAGGGCTCAAGTATTTATCTTACCGCCCCCACCCCCAACACCGAAAAAAATGCGACAAAGTAGGCGAAATTAGAGATAAAACTAGCTTTTAGTATATCTACGGGCAAAACAGTGTACAGGTAAAGTATTGCTTCCTGCTCATCCTTCCCTCCCCCTGCAACTTTTATAAAAAATTACACCACTGCTGGACAGTTCATCAGACACATAATGGCGTAAGGAACTGTAAAGCTCAATAAATTTTGAGATTCAAGAAAAGCACATTTCATTATTTTTTCTCTGCAGCGAAAAAATAGATAATTTGCTAATCTCTTCACAAATTTTCAAAGTTTTTGTTGTCTCCTTTTACCGGCCAAATGGCGCACACTTGTCTTGGACGCTGAAAACTTCTGCCCACTGGAAAGGGTGCTAGCCGGACCAGGGGCGCAGCCAGAGTCTTGGCAGGGGCACGGGATGTGGTCACTTCATTTTAACGGAACATGACCCTCGTTTTTTATATGTACATTCTTTAGCTAAAAAAACCCAAGACACCGGCAGCTGCAGATACGTTTTGTATTCTAACATGCGCTCGGGTGAGGGGTGAACTTGACCCCCCGAAGGCTATTCCGGAATGGTTTCCAAACGGCGCGGTTTCCAAAACGGTATAGCCGCACCAAATTTGGCAAAACTGCAGACAATTAAATAGCTGATCGTCTGGAATCAAGAATTTAGATGTACCTTGTACGGTCGCTGACCTAGGACAGGTCAAAGTCAAGCCATGGTTTCAGCGAAGGCAATTTCTAGTGAATAGTTCAATCTGATCCAACAGTGGAGTGTTAGAGGAAGCCATACATCTCTGAGGTACTTTTTTGGGCAACATGACAGTTGAATAAACAAATTAAATTGGCCTAGGGTCAGGTATGAAGGTCAGACCAAGGTTAAAACCAGCATGTTTTATTACCCTAGGGCTTGCTGGGTAAAGGCTAAGGGATAGTTTCTGGCACTTATTTCGAATGTGTTGATAGCAGAAACCGCATTAAATACCTTCCATGGACCTCTTAGACGTCGGAATGGGTCATTGACCTAAAATGATCCAGGTCAACAAGTTGTTTTTATGAGCACACTGCCTAGCGTAAACATTGCCGCTTATTCAAATGCAACACTTCCAGCAGCCTTGTATGATTTTGATCGCCATGACCTTCAAAAGATCAAACAAGGTCACTGACCTTAAATGAGCATGTAACGTGTTGCTTAGAACAGTTATCTAGGTTCTAGGGGCCCTTTGGAGACCAGACAGAAATTTGGCCTTGAAATTTGGCCTTGGCCTTTGACCTTATTTGACCCGAAGATCATGACCTAGGAACCTCAAACTCTGACCCAAATGAGCTCACGTACAGGTTATCATACCCGATGAATTTGGGGTCTCCAGCTACTTTAGTTCCTGAAATCACAGGGGGTGTCAAATTGACTCCCTACTAGAGCGAAGGGCATCCAGCCGGCCACCCGGGCGCGTGTTGACTTTCAAGCATTGGGTGCCGATGGGATAGTAATTAGCGCATCACCGTTAACCTCTGTGCGTTTGGGGGAACAGAGGCATGGTGCTCAATTCCCCGCGGTGTCCGTCGTTAGTTCTAGGGCCTTGGCTCGCCATTCCTGCCAGGGTGAGAGGCAAGCGACGCCATATAACCTCAGCAACCGAGTGCGTCGCAGAGCTCGAGTGACAACTTTAAAGCACTGGAGTAGGAACACCAATGCTTGCAACGGGGGAGTCAGTGGCCGTCATGACACACCCCTTTTCGAGAATGCTGAGCATTAGTCCTATGGCAACGTACGGAAAGAATTGAGCCCAAAATTCTTATCGGCGCCCCACGTCTTGAGACATTCGTCCACATCTGTCATGAAGGCAGTTAATGCTACAGACGAAGGGAAAGCACCGAGATGTGGCATACGACATAAGCTTCCCTTCTGTATGCATGTGATATCAATTTTGTGGACACAGTCACAACGAAAATAAAAAACGGACTTACCAACCACAGCGCATCGCCCTCGTATGACGTTCGGAAGGGACATGTTGATCTGGAAAACCCCACACTACAGTATTCTTGTTTCGGCCATGCGTCACAGCACAAACACTTCAAAGCGCTCTAATCGTTGATGACATTGGCAAAACTGAGCTTAAAATGTCGCTGCCGCCTGGACGGCACGATTCTGGAGCCAGCATTGGCATTTCGTTTGTTTTGGAACCTTGCTGTTGCTATGGTAACCGGCGCGACGGCCAGCGCGCAAACCAGAGACCAATCGATGGCTGGACAGGTGCTTACATGTGTCGCTTTTCATTTGCTTCGCGCGCAAATATTGATAAGAGGAAAAACAACGCGAGCTTTAAGTCTGCAGTAAGGTATCTGCGCGCTAGCTCCAATCGAAGTACGTTGGTAGCACAACCGCTGTACGGCGTACGTTTCCTATTAGCCCATAGAGTTCACGTTTGAAAGTTCGGTTTCACAGAGCTGTGAACCGAATTCTATTACTTCAGTTTCAATGAAACCAGCACCAAAATATAGGCTGCTTGATTATCTTGCGCCAAACCGTAAAATATTTTTTTTTTAGAAAAGCCAAACCTCCGTGGCGTACCAGGTCAGAGTTTTCATGCGCGGTACGCCGTGAATTTTCCAACTTTCGAAACATACACCAAAGGCTTCAGTACCTTAATCCGTAACGTGCAAGGTCCATAACCGACAGGTCGTGCATTCAAAACCGGAGTGATCTAGCATTTTGCTACCAGTTTCCTATAGAATATACCGAACTTTTTGCTACGAGCCAATCAGTCATTTTTTGCAGTTCCTGGACAGTTTGTGGACAAAACATTCATTTCAGTTGTAAATACATTGACTATTGTAGCATCTTCGCCACACTACATTCAGATCCCGGCTGCCAAATATTTGGCATGAACTTGGAATTTAGATTATATTGCACACATGGTGTATTTGAAGATTTATACTGCAAGCCATGCACGGTCAGGGACAGCCACAACGCATTCAGAGACAACATGGTCGCACCCAATTAAGGCATGGCGCTGATATGGTCACAAGTCCGATATTCTTCAGTTTTTTTTTCGGCATCTGGAAGGCTCAGGACACATTTATGAGATTTTTCTCATATACCTTTGGCTACGTAGCTCTTATCAAACTTTCAAGATTGTTTGCGTGCCAGACCTTACCATTGTGAAGCCACAACAACTCTTATTCTTTGAGATGTTGTGACACTAGTTGTAAATATAATAACCAAATTGCCAGATCAAGAAGTACAACCGGTACGACCACAGGTGTCGATTTCTATTCTTTTGGTCGGCCGCTACCCCCCCCCCCCCCCCCCCATCCCCGATGTTCAAGTCCCCAAAACGGTGAGGCTGGTCACCCAACCTTCCGGAGCCCAAGGACAAGCATGATATTAAAAATGCAAGAGCAAATTATTATAAATTTCAAAGGTTTATAGCCATTGTTTCACGAACAAAGGGAACGAACCAAGACAACACTGCCACGCCATGTTCGGTCGAGTGCAGCTATCTCGGCTTATCAGACTTTTAATATCCAGTGTTTGTACGATCTTTATTTAAGTACTTTTTGTTTTGCTGCAATGCTGCCGTTTTTTGTAAGCAAGATTTGCATATGTCTCGTCGACTTCGGTGTAGTTTTCTGGCCCTGTTTGAATGTCTTGTCATTATTCAGCGATTTATCAATTGCTACAAACCGCAGCAATTTGTGTTGTTCTGCAACGACCTATCGGATAATGTAAAAAGTCAGATCATATCATCCAAAAATGGAACGATGTTACTAGACGTCCATATTGGAAAGTTCAATGGAACAGTAACGAAAACTAGACAATCGACACCAACCGACAAAACCGATAGCGGTAATCAACCGACAACAATCGTCACCACAGCATTACTAGTTATATCAAACATGCTGAACGCTAGTGCTGCGTTGCAGCCTGCAGCCCGCCCTACAGCTACCGGCCGGGAGTTCCCGTGACAGCCATTGAAAGTCGCGCATACCAACTTACCCTTTTAATTCTCAAAGCCACACACGTCCAACAACGTCTGACGCCACATGAAATCGACCTCACGTCGATTACCCAAACCTGGTTTCAACCATCGGCGCGCAGCAGGGCTATAATGATGCCCGACGACGATATCCCCCGTCGAGACAGAGCGAGGAATCGTGTTGGAGCAAGGACGCAGGATTCTCTTCAGTTGGAGGACTCAAACTCACAAACATTTAGAGAGTGAAGTGGGCGAAATCCGAGAAGTGTTCAGTTTTTAGTGTATTTAGGGTCAGACTTGCCCATTTGTTGAGGCGGTGGGCCAGACCAACGATTTCGTCCCTTACATCAGCAGGAAGAACTCCGACAAGGCATTGACACCGAATGTACAGGGTACATCCGGGCCCGGCCGAAGCAACACTGGTGTGCTTCGCATCACATAACATCCCTTGACAGAGGTGCCAGATCCACCCCAGTACGCTTATGAGCCGCACCACCCAACCGAGGATGCCATGCTGGCCACAGTCGAACGCCTGGTCACCATTACTGATGACGGTCTTGTATCGTCTGTAACGACGATCGATATGTCAAAGGCTTTCGATGGCATCGGCCACGACGTCCTCCTCACCAAGCTGTCTCGGTATGGCGTCACCGATGTGGGATGGCTCAGGAGTTTTTTGAGTGGTGGGGGCAGGTGGCGCGTGGAAGCTGGCTTATTCTCCCCATCATCGGTCCTATTTTGTGAACTGCGCGCCTCCAGAAGAACCGGGTCTCGCTGACCTCGAAACCAGACTGGAACTTGCCATGCATGAGCTTCAGTATTTGTTCAGTGTCAATTCTCTCAAAATTAAATAAACGAAAACTGCTTTTTGTGTTCGTTGGGTAGAAGCAAACTTTAAAAAGTCAGCCGACTTCCACTTTGAAGTAAGGATGGACTGTGCATGCCTAAAGCAGCACCAAATTTGTCAGCGTTACAATTGACTCTGGCTCTGTCATGGGGTGTCCATCTCTCAAGAGTCATGAAAAAAATGCCAGGGAATCCTCGCTTCTTTGCACACATTCCGTCAATGCTCTACTTCAGATCTTCTCAAAGTCACCATCCAAGCGTGCGTGTTCCCTTATAGCACGCACTGCCTGTGTGTGTTTAGTGGGGCGACCAAGAGTCAACTACCCAAAATAAAGAAAAACGAACAAAAGGAAACAAAACAATCAACTTTGCTACATGGGTCCTCATCGCCTCCAAGAGCACCACCATAAAACCCCGGCTTTCTATTCTCTTGAATGGCCGAGCATTGAGATCATAGGGGCGCATTGTAACGTGATTAATGGATAAGGGGTGCTGAAGGCGGTAGGCGCGCCTCGCGAGATCCGCGCGCTTTTTGTCCCACGCGCCGCTGTTTCGACTCGTAAAATACACGCCTCGGACACAGGTAGTCTACACCTGAGCAAATACCAATTGACCGCCACACAGAGAGCGTTTTCGCATCGAACCGCAGCAGCCTGGCATGAACCGCCATCGTACGCCCGTCATGCCACAACACTGAGGGTGTTTAAGATCGCCATACGCGATGTGATTTTGATCACTGGCCACTTATCTAATCCAGCTCAAAGCTCACAAGTTGTTTGAACACTTTGACCCGATTGCCTACATCATTTTTTTTACTATCTATGTATACTTTTTGTGCGTGCATTTTTAAAGTTTACTTTTTAGAGTGCAACAAACATGACCACAACCTGAAGCCGTAAGTCACCTTGCAGATGACTTTCATTAGAGACTGGCGTTTAGAAACCAAGCCTAGGGGAAGACGGGGGGGGGGGGGGGGGCAGCGGGCGCATGGAGGTCACCCGTCCTTGAATCGAGAGTCAAAAGGTTGATAGCGTTGGACGACTTCGCAGGAATTCGGCCCAACTTCTCAGGATTTTGGAGAAAAATTGTCATTTAGCCCCCCCCCCCTCGAGGAAATTCTGACAACTTGCCTGTTAGTGCACATAAGGGGAAGGGGATCACTATGCAGTGGAGGGTGCTGCTGTTAACGCTTATTATGTACCAGCTGAGCTAGGTGATCACAAAAGCACCTGCTGGGCTCGATCGGGCTCAGCGTCGGCCTGGGTCGGCCTGCAGGGCTGGAGAGGGCTGTGTCGGCCTGGGTCGGCTGCTGAGCTGGAACGGGATCAGAGTCGGTCTGGGTCGATCTGCTGGGCTGGAGCGGGTTCAGAGTCGGCCTGGGTCGGCCTGCTGGGCTGGAGCGGGTTCAGAGTCGGCCTAGGTCGGCCTGCTGGGCTGGAGAGGGCTCAGCGTCGGCCTAGGTCGGCCTGCTGGGCTGGAGCGGGTTCAGAGTCGGCCTAGGTCGGCCTGCTGGGCTGGAGAGGGCTCAGCGTCGGCCTGGGTCGGCTGTTGGGCTGGAGCGGGTTTAGCATCGGCCTGCTAGGCTGGAGCGGGTTCAGCGTTAGCGTGGGCCGGCCGTAGATGTGTACCGCCCGGCGTTCACCCCTGGCTACCAGCCTCCCTCGCCGATTGTGTGGCTGTATCTCCATTGGGCCCACAGCACCAGTCCAGTGAGCGCTGTGCAGTGACGGCCGACTGCTCCAAATTATAGGTGGCGATAAGAATAGCAGCCGACTTCGTCCCAATTATAGGTGGCGCTAACAGTGACATCCGAATGCCTCAATTACAGGTGGCGGCATCTGTTTTGATTGCTAATCAAATCAGATGGTGCCTGAGCCCTGATGGCAAGCGAGGCGGCCCGTATCTATCCATATCTTCCCACGGATAAGTGTCCTCGAAAGCATAAGCATAGCTATGCTTTACGATATTCTTTGTACTTTTATATAACCACAGAAAAATACATCAGGGGGCTTCATTTAACCCAGCACATCCGGCTCCATTTTACTGTCACATGCTGCTGGTCCTTTATGTCACTGCGAAACAGACCTTGCCATAAAAACCACAGCCAAACGTCACCTGTCTAACCAGCTCTCCGCTACTCGCACCTCAACAGTGTGGTCCAGCACGTCAGCTGAAACTCATCAGTTCAGCGCGCTCAAGCTGCCTTTTGCGTTCAACCGCATTCGTTTAAACCCACAGCGCAAACACATGGCGTTAAGTATCTAGGCAAAACAGCCGAGGCAGCTTTGTACTCCCCAAATTTGGAACATCCTACGCGGACGATCCGTCCTCAGTTGGATCTGTTTGGAGTCCGGTCTGCGATTGAGCATGCCAGTGTGCCTCGGGCTGAGGCTGGATAGAGAGGCTATAGGCACGACGCTTCTCTTCATAATGTATGTCACCCCAACTCTGCACTATATGTTTCGCACCACTGTCACCTGGTAGCGACATCTCAATGATGCCGCCAGTACTGCCGTCATTATTCCAATTGCAACGCAGCGACGGCTGGCGGCGATAAGACTAGAGTCCGCCTTCACGCCACCGAAGCGTAGGCAGCACACCACGCCTGCTCCGGGAACTTATCCAGCTACATCCTACAACAGGCGAACAAGGGAACATCACGAGGGTCATCACCGGCCGCCAACGCTATGCGCCTGACCCGGCAGCAGGGGTTCAGGTCTGCACCTGGCCGCCCTTCTTGTCCCGCTGGCCCGGCAGCAGGAGCCAGGTCTGTCCCTGGCCGCCCTTCTTGTCTCGCTGACCCGGCCGCAGGGGCTCAGGTCTGTCCCTGGCCGCCCTTCTTGTCCCGCTGGCCCGGCCGCAGGGGCTCAGGTCTGTCCCTGGCCGCCCTTCTTGTCCCGCTGGCCCGGCCGCAGGGGCTCAGGTCTGCACCTGGCCGCCCTTCTTGTCTCGCTGACCGTGCAGCGGGGGCTCAGGTCTGCACCTGGCCGCCCTTCTTGTCCTGCTGACCCGGCCGCAGGGGCTAAGGTCTGTCCCTGGCCGCCCTCCTTGTCCCGCTGACCCGGCCGCAGGGGCTCAGGTCTGTCCCTGGCCGCCCTTCTTGTTCCACTGACACGACAACACGGGATCAGGTTTGCACCTGGCCCCCCTTCTTGTCCCGCTGGCCCCGTTTGGCGCGTATGCGCGGCACAAACCGCACCTCGGCCCGGTTCGTCAGCCCGAAGTCGGCTAGCCGCGCGTTGTCGTCAGTCAGCTGGCGGCCCTCGAAGCACAGCCAGTTGGTGCGCCACACGTAGCGCCAGCTGATCAGCCGGCGGCGACACTGGCGCTCCTGGTGGACCAGACGGGAAGCGTAAGCGACGGCTGGGCGTGTGCACATGGCCAGGACCGATGCATTTCCAAGCAGTGAATATGGTTGTGGTAGCCATGGAGACAATTAAAAGCTACAGCACAGCGTCCCAATCGCCGCCGTGTATCTGGCGCGGCTGCGGGCAAACCCAGCGCCTATGGTCAATGCCAGCCCTAATTACATGCGCCGTGGGCTATGTTAACAGTGGCAGTACACACCCGCAAAGCGCCGCTGGAGGTGGACGCCCCGCGCAACAACTGGCGATGGGCAGTACGCCGTTTCCCTTGCCAAGGCCGAAGGTTAAGGCTCGATGAATGACAAGTTGAGATCGCAGAGCAGTGTCTGAAATTTGGGTGTTTCTTGATATCAGTTCAGGATTCCGCCTGACATTGCAAATAATGCGTGGAAAATGGGATAAGCTGTAGTACACAACCGGCTCAAGTGTGAGGAGCAGAACAGCGGGCATTTGGATTGATCCATACCGTGCAGCACACCGGCGTGTCGTCATGCATCGGAATGATCTGGGGACCGCGTCCCCCGATGACACCGCCCCCGGGTGGGGTCGAAGGGAGGCGGGGGCGGGGCCAAGGCTATCTAACGAGGTAGAACCGTCCGGTCCGAAAAAGTGGCAACATAGAGCTTGCTTGAGAAAAGAGGTAGTTTGGAAGTAAAGCCTGCTTGACGTCAAGTATACCATATTTGATGACGTCAGTAGCACGGAAGCCTCCCAATTAGCCAGCTGTTACACAACCCATTAGTTTGAATAGAGGGGCATGTCTTGGTAGCGTGCGGCTGGCGGTTCCCCGTTGGACTGAGAAGAAATTATCCGTCATTTCGCTATTCGCACACATTTCTGGAATGAGCAGTGAGTCATGGAACAGTTAAGCCTCATCAGAATGTACGATTTTTGCATGTATGACGCTATAACATGGGTTTATATGTCATGCGGCGTTTGTGGCGTATTGCATTCCATGACCAGGCTTGTCGTTAGATAGCCGTAGACTTGTCTGTGCCGTTTGTGTCTGGTGGCAGAGTTGAACAGCTCAGCTTGCATAATTTACTTTGCCTACAGGTATGGTTATATGACCATTTGCAATATTGATTTGCAATAGCTCTCGCTCTTATCACAGTGATGTGAGTGCAGTAAGGTAAGTACAGTAAAACCCTATGATATTGGCTTTATGATGCTACTGTCAAGTGTTTCTTTACATCGGGGTTTGTACACATATGCATAATAAAATGTTCACAGACTGAGCATTTTAAATGCTACCAATTGTTTAAGACAAACTGCTCAGGAGATCTCTCGTACGATGAGTAGTCATGGCAACTGGCCACAACCCACTGATATAAAGAGCCAAGCAACTACGACACGCGATGCGCTACAAACGCCGCATGACGTTTAACCCCTAGTTATGTACACCCCACGGAAGAATACAAAATTCTGATGATGTCAAACTATTCCGAGATTCAATCTCCCTTCCAGAATTGCGTTTGCATGACAAAACCGTGGACCACTCATTCAGAGTCCAACCGGGAAGCGCCAGCCGCACGCCCCCAAAACATACTCACCATTCAAACTAGTGGGTTGTGTAGCAGTCAGCTGGCTAATTGAGAGGCTTCCGTGCCACTGACGTCATCAAATATGGTATACTTGACGTCATGCAGGCTTTGCTGCCAAACTACCTGTATTCTCACGCAAGCTTGATGTTGCCACTTTTTGATAGTGTTAACCGATACGGATGACACCCCCCTGGGCGGGGCTCAGCCCTCACCAGTTCCAGCTCGACGGCGCCGCGCAGGGCCCGCTTCAGGTCACGCACCGTAGCTGTCCGCTCCACAATGACCCGGGTCAGCTGCCGGCAGGTCGGGGGTCACCAGGGTGGGGGTCGCGGGTCATATGTCACCAGTCAAAGGTCAGAGATTGCGAGTCAGACCATCGTGTCCTAAACCAGACATCATCGGTTAACAGTCCCGGACAACACGGCAGACCATGCAGACTGGAGTCACTGGTCAGAGCTATCCAGCTCGAGGTCACGAGACAATCGACGTCTACACCATTCAGCATGTAAGGCCCACACAGGTCCTGCACTTTACATATACCCGCACGATAAATGAATGATGGCAAAACACTTAGCCAGCGCTACAGACTTCGCCGGTCAGAACTGGTCAGACAGCTTTGTCTGGCCATTTAGCCGTCCGCCACGCGCCTCACCTTGTCTCCTCTGTTGAAGAGCACGGCCATGGCCGTGCCATGCTCGAGGGCCAGCAGGGACCTGACCTCGGCCGGGGTCGGCGCCGGCGGCAGGTCGCTCAGTAGCGGGTCAGCGGCCAGCAGGTCGGCCAGCGTGCTGCGGTACACCGCCTCCAGCTCGTGGTGCGTCAGCCCGTCCTCCTCCTCCAGGGCGTCCTCCCGCGGCGAAGACGGCAGCGGCGGCGTCGGCGGCGGTGGAGGGGGCTCTGCCGCGGCTGGGCTCGCCAGAGGGCCGTCCACCGCCGCGATGGGGGCTGCGCTACTACCGGCCGGTACCCGGTCCGACGCGTCGGCGCTGTCCGACACTGGACCCGGAGCCGCCGCGGTGCGATCGGCCATCACACCGTTCAGCACACTCTCCGACATGGCGGTGCCGCGCCGGGCGCGCTCCAACACCCCGCCCGTCCAAACACTCCTGTCCTCGGTCCCTCGCCGCCGAGACCAGAGCAACCGTCGCTGGCCGCTGGAGGCACGAGGCTTCCCGGTCGATTACAAGGCGGGCGCTACGATGGGTGAGGTGGGCACTGCGCTGGGCGAGGCGGGCGCTGCGCTGGACGAGACGGGCGCGGCGCTGGGCGAGGTCTGCGGTGACGGCTGCTCGGCGGCGCGCACCAGCAGCCTGCGGCTCGGGTCGCTGGACAGCTCCAGCTCCAGCCGGTCGACCTGCCACGTGTCCGCCCGGGCGCGACCCCCACAGCAGCAGGTGGCCCTTGTCCTTCGGGCCTGCCGACGCACGAGCGCGCGCAGCGTCAGCCAGCGCCGACAGCCTCGACAGCGGAGCGCCTGAACACTGCACAGCCCCGTCATACTGGCGGCTGACTGGCGGGCAGCGTCAGAGAGCGGCGGCACTGGCAGTGACAGCCATCTCGTCGCACGGAGCGGAAGGCCCACGCACCAGTCAACGCATTTCGTGACCACGCACGGATGATGCCGCGCTCACACGGAGCCAGTGCGCGTGTGACTGGCACCAATGTGGTGGATAGTGTTGACGCATCATATCCTCAGGCCCAGCGTTGGACCGCCACAAGCACTCCGAACGGCGGCAGCCAAGGACGAGGGGCGGGAGAGGGGGGGGGGGGGGGCGAGCAGCCAGCACCAACGGCGGACTATTTCGCCACCTCGCACATGGCACGGCACACTGGGAGCACTGTGACGCGCCTGGACCTCACCTCTGACAGGCACGCGGAACTGGACGCGTCTCTCGTCGCAGAAGTTGGCCTCGGGCCTCGCCAGGTCCAGACGGCCGTCGGTGATGGGCTCGCCCAGCACGGAAACTGCGCCAGGGTGCGCGCGCAGCAGTCGCATCGACTCCCGAAACCAGGCGCCCTGCTTGAGACCCGCCTGGCGGACGGCCGCGGGTCAGGTCAGGGGGAGGGGACAGCCAACAGGCCAGCATTACAGCAGCTTTAGTGCCTGATACAACAATCTTCATGCCATTTACAGTTACTTTGGTGCCTTTTGTAGCTGCTTTGGTGCCTGTTCGTTGCTCTGGTGCCTGTTATGGCTGTTGTGGTGCCTGCTACAGCTGCCTTGGTTAGTTACAGCTGCTTTGGTGCATGTTATAGTGGCTATGTGCCTGTTACAGCTGCTTTGGTACCTGTTGCAGATGGTTTGGCATCTGTTACAGCTGCTTTGATGCCTGTTACAGCTGCTTGGATGACTGTTACAGCTGCTTTGGTGCCTGTTGTGTCACAGCTGTTTTGGTGCCTGTTAAACCACTTTGGCATCTGTTACAACTGCCTTGGTGCTTGTTACAGGTGCTTCAGTGCTTGTTACAGCTGCTCTGGTGTCCATTACAGCTGCTTTGGTGTCTGTTATAGCAGTTTTGATGCCTGTGCACACAGCAAGATGGATGCATCCTCCTTTATAAGTGCGGCCACTTCTGGTAAATTCATGATTAAACATACTATCAGCAAGACAGCACCCACTTTCCATGCTACCAAATGCTGTAATGTTCAGTTTGGGCTGCAATGCAACATAATGGGCTATATTGCTGCTGTCAGGAGTGGGTAAACTCTCAAAATTTAGCCTCACCATAGGACAGTGTACAAGGTCTACCCAGGTCAGTAACTGATAGCCCCATGCATCACCAGTGGCCTCAACTTGGTGGATCATGGCTGCCCGACCAAGGTTGTTGGAGATCACAAGTAATCAATAAGAGAAATGGTACCCAACAAATGTAATACTGTAAGGTTCATTTCTGAGAGCTACATAACACAACAACAAATGCATGAGTTCATGTGAGCAATGCAGTCATGTCCTTGCACAGGCTCCCCCTGCAAGAGGTGGAAGACTTTTTAATGACTGGGAACACACTTGGGTATCAAGTCAATCCTTAATACAAATAATCACAGGCCCCAGTTTACACAGGCTTACCCTGCATGAGTTCAAACAATTTTTAATGACTGGGAAACTTAGATAATAAATATTTTTTTACAAAAAATCATGGACCCTAGTTTGAACAAAATAAAAGTGAGACTGCCTGGCATTTAAGCAGACTGCAAATCTGCAAGACCCAGATAACACTACCACTTATCAGGACATGCCAGGATCACTGAAAACTTCAGCATGATAACTGATGCCCTTAGTCTGATTCCATTATTGAGTGCCTTAACCACTGGCACAATGTCTGGCTGTTTTTCATTGCTTTCACACATGATATATGAGCACTGCAAATGTAAAACACCAAAGGTGATGAAAATAAATGTAAATGTAACAGCCACCTTGAGTTTAGTGGAATGTATGTATTCATGCAGCACTGTTATCACCAGTTTTAAGCCAATACCAATGGCAGCATGTCCATGACAGCATGAAGCTTACATGTGCCAATGATGAAATAAGCACTATCAACCACGCATGCTTCTCAAATATGGGCCATACTCAGACCAGAACCTTACGATCATTAGTGCACCGAAGGCAAAACTGAAAGAAATATACCAAGCAAATGAAAAGAATGCAAGAGTATGTACATGCTTAACACGCAGGCTTTTTGTCAGCTCAGTCCCTTGAAGTGTCATTTCTTTATGTGACGCACATATTTAGACCCTCATAACCATCAACATCACACGTGAGCCTTAACGAATGATAATCGCGGCATTCCGGCACACTTCATTACCTGTATTTTGGAGTTTACAAATGTGGCAGCTCCAGCGATCAATAAACCCCCTACCCCAGCAACTTTGAGTAGACTCTGAGTGGCCACCATAATTTACTTCTGTCTAAAATATGCGAAGTACTCCCATATGCGCAACCCGGGCGAGGCTTTAGCTGGCTTGGGAGTGAACAGGTCTGGTAGGTACCCTGGGTAGTATAACAAACGATATAGTAGAGCTGCAAAGAAATAGGCTCACTAAAATATGACACGTAAGCTCACTCCTAATGTTCGAGCGCATACTTAACTGTTTTATCAGTCACGAAACGTTTAGTAAAAACAATGATTGTGGAGGAGAGGGAAATGGATGCCGTTTTAACCGATTTATGACAAATGGGGAAAATGCAATGAAATTTGGGGAGGGAGATGGCCTACAGCTAATGTTGGGGAGAGCTAAAGCCCTACATAGCCTCCCTACATACATTTGGACCACAGGATTTTAGGTACAAAGTAGTCTGATTTCACCCGCAAGTGACCATTACGCGGTGTTAACCAGCTTGCCGCCATTTGGCCCAAAATATGGCTTAAGTTACGAAAAATGGCATCGGCAGTGTGCATAGAAAATCTAAACATGCCTGCTTCAAAGTTTTCAAATCGTGTAATTACCCTACAGGCAGGGACGGTGCCATCGATTTTGGATAGGGGGGACGAGGTTAAGCACCTTCGCCAGATATTTGAGTAAATGCGGGTGAGAGGTTATGCGTTTCGTAACCGGCGTTCTCGTAAGCTATCATTGCTTTGTAAATTCTTCGTGTTCTTTGCGCTGTGCCACCGATTTGTATGTCCTATTCCAATTTCAAAGCTTCTTATCAGCAGACTTCACCTAGACCATTCAAACACACAATATATCATCTTGCCATCTCCGGTCTCCGGCGGCCATGATAGTGCCTTCCTAAATTTCAAGGGGAACTAAAAGATGTATGCACGCTGGCGAACGAAAAGGAGGTAGCTGTCCCAGCGGCCCTGGTGGTGCCGTCCCTGGATATCATCCTAGCATCGGTACTCGCACCTTTTGTTCGATCAGCGATGATACTCATGATAGCTTGAAGTCAGGAAAGAAATGGATGAAGGCAACCTCTTGAAGATGTAGAAAGGAAGTCCTGTGGGGTTTCCTACAGTTCTCTCAACACAGTTGAGAGAACTGTTACAACACAAAGAAACTGAAACGAAAGGCACGCTTGTTTGTTGCCGCCATGTAAGTAGGTACGTATTCCTTACCATATCCCGCGCGGGAGTCAGAAATTTGGCATCTCTGAGGTTTTTCTAGTATAGCGAGAAAATGAAGAGACGCAGTGCGGTTGAATTTTTAGTAGATTGTCCCCGGACATTTTCGCACATTTGCATTACTTCAAAACCTTATCCAGAGTCAAGCAATTACCTTATGTCAGGGCAAAAGATGTAATGCTTGAAAACATTAGCCTTTTGTAGTTTTGGGAAAGAGAGGTATCAAAACAAGAGTTTGCGCTTTTTGGCATAGTAATTCGTCCAATCTTTACGGGATGACATATTCTTGGAAATCCCAGGACTTTGCCAATTCATCTTCATCTTTTGTGCATCTCGTGTGCAAGTTTTAAGTTTTAGCGGGTTAGATCACTTGCTGAGTTCATGTCCGAGGCGAAACTCAGAACGAATTGCAACCATTAAAACTTGTTAAAAACCGGACAGATTTTGAAGTCACGTTTAACAAGTGTCCTGTTGTGTGTTACATGTATGCGACGTGTCTACAATATAATTATCTTCGCGTTTTCTAAAAATACTCGTTTTCCTTGTCCCACTTCGACCATGGCCCGGTCTGATTTATTATAACCTCCGATACCCTTAAACCGACCCGAGTTGAGACGGAATGCGTTCAATTCGATTCACAACGACCCATTCTCTTCTCCGGCATTTCATTTTTGCCCGATGCTTAGAAAATGGAAAACCATCCAGCCGTCCAGGTGGAGAAATTTGAGGATTTTTGGGTTTTGTTAATAATTCAACGGAAATTCCCACTTGGGTACAGTGTCAAATTTCTTTCAATATCTGTTGACCTAAAATTTGACGTCGGGTCGCAAATAACCTCTTAATTAAAGCCGTCTCCCAAACAGCCTTCATGCATCACTTTTGAGTCTAGTGTTCGAAGCATTTGGTCTGCGGAGGTACCGTTCCCCGGGCGTTAAGCTGGACACCGGCTCCGGTTGAGGCATCTGCATTTCATACAGATGAACTGGGCGACTGGTTACAGAATTGAAGGGAGTGGTCCATTTGTGTGGGGTTTTGAACTAGCCATATGGAAGACCTTTTGATGCAGCTCATGGTCATGTCCTTTTAAATACCTAAGGCTCTCTGATTCTTAAGCTTAAAAGCTGCAAAGATGTGGGAGAGTTATTTAGGAGAGGATTTGAAGGTCATCTTGGCATTCATGACGTCAGAATAACGTCATTCAACTCTTGCCATTTCATAAGCCATGCGGTGATCAAGGCCAAGGCAAATATAATGGTGGAGTCATTCGTATTCCTAGTTCGTAAGCACGATTTTCAGATATAATGGCCGTCAATCGGCTCTCAATCGATGTTGTGCAAGGTACAATGACGTGGTCGAGCATTGACGTATCTTAGAGCATATTTACTATTTCAAGGAAATCGTGTGAGGTCTAGAGCAGTCTTTTTTAAATGAAAGCACACCGACAGTTTTAGGTGAGCTTGTTTCATCATATCTGATGCTTACTTCGATATCTTCAAACGTGAAACATTCCCTTTAACCGCGCGAACAGGTCTGGATTTTTATATCAGGTCATAATAGAGAATGATACATTTATCTCACCAGCCAGATAAACTGGCATTCTGGAAAAATTCCTGCAATGCTTTTTGTCTTACTATTTATGTCTTGTTTCACTATTTTGCCAAAGTTCCAACGTATTTTCAACATAAATGTTTTATCGTTTAGCTGCCGCTTGCGCCTCCACAAAATTCTCAGTTAGTTTAACTGTCTCTTTCATGGGTGTCTGCTGGCTAATGACCAAGACAGTTCAATGCAACAAACTACTCACAAAACGCGCGTGGACAAATCTCGTGCCAAACATGACGCATTCTTATATATGCTTAAGAACACACTTCAGGCCAGCTTGTGTCGTTTACGGTCGCACCATCGACTCAAACGCGACACTTCAGCATGGACCGGCGGAAGTTGAAGCGTTCCGGCGGATGGAAAAAGGTCATCACAACCGGCTAGCTGTTAAGCCACTAGATTACCGTGAAGAACATTTTCTATTTTTGAATAGCATACGGTAATCAACATGACGACAGAAAACAAAAACAAAAACAAAAACATTACAGAAAATTTTCCACAATGCCAGTTTATCTGGCCGGTGAGATAAATGTATCATTCTCTATTACGACCTGATATAAAAAGTCCAGACCTGTTCGCGCGTTTAAAGGGAACGTTTCACGTTTGAAGATATTGAAATAAGCATCAGATATAATGAAACAAGCTCACATAAAACTGTCAGTATGCTTTCAATTAAAACAGACTGCTCTAGATCTCACACGATTTCTCTTTGTAGTAAACATGCTCCAGGATACGTCAATGCTCGACCACGTCTTTGTACCTTGCACAACATCGATTGAGAGCTGATTGACGGCCATTATATCTGAAAATCGTGCTTACGAACTAGGGATACGAATGACTCCACCATTATATTTGCCTTGGCCTTGATCACCGCAAGGCTTATAAAATGGCAGGAGTTGAATGACGTTATTCTGACGTCATGAATGCTAAGATGACCGTCAAATCCTCTCCCAAATAACTCTCCCACATCTTTGCGACCTTTAAGCTTAATAATCAGAGAGCCCTAGGTCTTTAAAAGGACATGACCATGAGCTGCATCAAAAGGTCTTCAATATGGCTAGTTCAAAACCCCACACAAATGTGGAGCACTCCCTTTAAGTCCGTAACCAGTCACCCAGTTCTTCTGTGTGAAATGCCGATACCTCAACCGGAGCCGGTGTCCAGCTTAACGCCCAGGGAACGGTGCCCCCGCAGACCGAATGCTGCGAACACGAGACTCAGAAGTGATGTATGAAAGCTGTTTGGGAGACAGCTTTTATTAAAATGCTATTTGCGACCTTACTTCAAATTTAAGGTCAACAAATATCGAGAGAAATTTGATACTGCACCCAAGTGGGAATTTTCGTTGAATTCTCAACAAAACCTAAAAATCCTCAAATTTCTCCACCTGGACGGCTGGACGGCTTTCCATTTTCTGAGCATCGCGCAAAAATGAAATGTCAGAGAAGAGAATGGGTCATTGTGAGTCGAACTGAACACATTCCGTTTTAACTTGGGTCAATATAAAGGTATCGAGGGTTATAATAAATCAGACTGGACCATGGCCGAAGTGAGACAAGGAAAATATTTTTTGTTTTGAGTACGCGAAGATGATTTTATTGTAAACACGTCACATACATGTAACACCCAACACGACACTTGTTACACGTGACTTCGATGTCTCTCCGGCTTTAACAAGCTTTAATGGTTGCAATTTGTTCTGAGTTTCGCCTCGGACATGACCTCAGCAAGTGATCTAACCCGCTAAAACTTAAAACTTGCACACGAGATGTACAAAAGATGAATATGAATTTGTCAAAAATTCCGTGCGACGCGGGCAGTCAATTTTTTTTCGCAAAGCTCGAAAACCTTTGTGTGTGAGACCTTCTCGGCCCCCCTGGCCCAGTCAGGCTCCCCTCCGTCGTTATTAAAAAAAAATAAATGGAAATGATACTTGGAATATAAAATGATATGATACTACCACTATGCTGTGCTATGAAAATAGATATGATATGATAATGCTATAAGCTGAATAAATAGAATGACCATTTTAACCAGAAAAATGTGATATAGAGGCCACATGGCGTCTTGGGCCATCATACTATGCCGAAATCTTCCCCGGTTGTCCTCCAGAGCGCAGGGGTGGAGGCAAAAGTGGTGGAGGCCGGCCAGACAATCAACATCTAAGGACAGCCGAGAAGAACACAGCTGGTATTTGTTACACCGGCGACCATTTGAGACAAAACAGCTATTGTCTATCCAAAACATACTGAAACATGGTGACCTATTTACGTTAGATAGGTACTTGATCTTGGTTACAGTTAACCCCATTTAGAACGTCCTCATATTTTTTTCGGGTAAAGTATTCCTCCCCAGAAATAGTACTTTTCCAACCCTCACCTCCCAAGCAGACATCATTACAGAGCTCCAAATCCGACGTTGTAATAATGTTAGGAACTATATTGTAGCCCTACCTTCATACCTGTGTGGTGTTTTCGTGGCTTTAGCTAAGTTTGGGGCCAGGTGGACGCGGGCTACTTACCATTATCGCTCGCATGTGAACGGAACGGCACAGATTGAAATCAGACTGCTTTGTAACTAAAGCCCTTGAAGGAAGCACGGGGCACGGCCTCCAGCCCTCCC